TTGAAAAAGGAAAAAAAATGCCTGGAAATTTCAAGCTGGAGATAGCCAAAATAACAATATGTTCTTTTCTTTTTGCATAAATGGAAATTCGCAGAGAGAGAGAGAGAGCAAAAGCACTTGACCGCCTCGTTATATACTTAGTGGAAATCGCAGAACACAAACTGACCGGACTAGCCGGTGAGTCGGTGACCATCACCCCTTATGCTTATGGTTTTATTTGTACAATTTTACTTTCTATTACCCGCTGGTCAATACTGACACGTGTCTAGTTTATCGTAACAACTATCGTTTGATCGATTGGTAACCTTTAGATCTCATGGTTACGTGGCGAAATTATGACCCGACGATCTATAAAGGTATTTCTATTTTGGATCGTCCGATCGAGAGGTCGGATCCTATGCGACGCAGGAACAAATAGTATTTTTTTCCAAAAATTATTATTATTTAATTTTTTTGTAATAACCATATATATACCAATGATTGCAGCTGTAAATGAGTGGGCTATGACAAATATCCCCTTTGTTTGCATAAATTCTGATTCATGCCCAAATAAATTCAGATTTACCCCAATATTAACTCATTTTGACAATTTAGCCCCCAAATATCTCTATTAGTTCATAATCAAGATTGTTTAGTGGTTTAAGTTTAACCAACCATACATCTAAACCAAAATAACTGTATAAAGAGCATCTCCATTAGGGGTCTTTAAGGGTTGTCTCTTAAATTAAAAATTATTAAAATTTGAGTAAAAAGAAGAAAGAGAATGTTTTTGTGAAGTGTATTGAAATATAAAATTAATAAAATTTGAGTAAAGAGAAGAGATAGTGGATGTGTTTAAATATAAAATTAATAAAAATTGAGTAAAAGGAAGAGAGAATATGTTAAAATTGATACTTTAGATACTTTTGGAGAATTTGTTTTGAAATAATGGGATGTATTGAAATATAAAATTAATAAAAGTTGAATAAAAGAATGAAAGAGAAGGTATAAAGTTGAGTATAAGGAAGAGAGTGTGTGTTTTACTAATTTTTAATTTAAGAGACAATCCTTAAGAACCATGGATGGAGATGGCCTAAATAGCTCAAGGAGAATCCAAAAAACCTAGACTTTTCTTCTCTTCAGTCATAGGTCAAAAAGAGAAAACCGAAATGGAGGCTCCAATACAAGTACCTAACGAACATTAATTCACCGTAGACTCGGCTCGAGGTCTAAGCAGATGATTTCTTCGACTTGCCACTCGAAGACAATTGCGTCTCAGGCTACAGTTCGATTCAAGAAGAATAATAAGCAGCAATCAAATGAGACAACGGTATCACGAAATGTAAACGAAAACACTACTAAATTGAATGTGAACTTACTTCTTTCTTCACTGGCGCCTCTTTCTCGGACAAGATAAGCTCAATGTGGCATGGGTTTGACATGTAAGCTGCAAAAACAAAAAGATGATAATTGTATCAACAGAGGAAGAAACAAAACCCATTGAAGAGTGTAACAGTTGTCAAAAGACTAGTTCTTTAGAGAGCATACGGTTGATTCGTCCGTGAGCACGATAAGTTCTGCGCCTTTGCTTCTGTGCTTGGTTCACTTGAATGTGAGATATGAAGAGAGCGTCTACATCCAAACCTTTCACCTGAAAATTTTGACTTTAAAAAGTCAACAGTTGCTCCCGAAAGGTTTTTTTTTTTTCTTCTACATGTTTGATTGTTTCACATACCTCAGCGTTGCTCTCGGCGTTCTTGAGCAAGTCAAGAATGAAATTTGCAGACTTGGCGGGCCAGCGACCTTGGCCATTGGAATGTCTGTTTTTAGCTTGTGCTGTTCGTCCCACACCACGGCAAAAACGCGTGAAGGGGATTGCTTGCTTGTGAGCTATAACATCTTCAAGGTATCTTTTCGCCTTCAACAACGGTAACTTCCTGATGGCGTGCGCTGTTTCTCTAGTGTTCTGTGTTAGGATACAATTCCAGTGAAGCACAATGTGATCCAGTAAC